CTTTCCCTTAAGGAAACGATTATCAAAAGGATATGTGATCAGGTATTTTCCAGATTCCCAGATTATGTGCAGAAAAGCAAAGATGCAGCCTTTCAAACACTTTCTGACCCAAAATACAGTGGAAAAATGAAGGTAACTGCTCTTCTTTTAGGTTGTATACACATAAGGATGATATACAAAATATTTATCAAATGGTATGTCAGGGATACCAATTAATCAGAACAGATGCTCCATCATTCAGAAGAGGCGGTGGCCAAAGACAACTGGTATAGTTGTATCTGTACTTATTAGCTCACTGTGAATACTGCATCCCATGGGTTCTCAATTAAAAGTACATCAAGTATACTTCAGACTTTCCTGTTGATGTATTGGATTTATGCCTTCTTAAAAATATATGCTGTTGCCACACGTATAATAATTTGTCTTCAAATGTTTAAGGAGATAATCTACCAGAAGTAAAAATGCTGATACCAAACAGGAAGGTGAAGATAGGTAAGGGCTCAGAATTAGATACATGAACTTTTTGAAGCATTCTCTATAAGTTCTCAATGAGACCTCTATCAAAGAGTTTTCAAGACCTCTATGTTTAGACTGAATTTGCTTCCTTTTGTTTTTACTTGCCAACTTAGATTGTGATCACTAAATTTTCTCATTTGTGGCAAGGGAGCATTTGCTGTACACTGGAAAACTGATCTATAGGTGCTGCTCTTGGTGATGTATTGCTGAGGGAGGAGTGTGAAAAGTAAAGCTAGTTCTCCAACTATGACCCAGACCTCTGGGCATTGCCTGTCACAGCTGCATGAAATGCTGACATCTTCTAGCCTCCGTGTAGAAGAATTTGTTTGTTTGACCCCTTAATAACTATCAAGAATCTTTTATTTATGGAAAGATTTTTACAGAACTATTCCCAACTTTATCTTTTAATTACAAAAATTATGCTGTTTCTCTTGGCAAAAAATAAAAAGGAAAAAGGAAGTAATTCAAAGTAGGTTTTTTTTTCCTTTAAAATCCTGGAAATAGTTATAGCAGTTAATCTACATAAGCTCACTATAGTTTAGTTTGCTTGGACCTCTAAATTCAATGATATAAACTAAAAGCTAGGGAAATTACCTTAAAAACTTGCAAGTATATATTTGTATTGAGATATAATTGACATATAACATTGTATTAGTTCAGGTATACAACATAACGATTTAACATATGTATATATTGTGAAGTAATTACATAAGTTTAGTTGACATCCATCACCTCACAGTTATGATTTTTTTTTCTTGTGAGAACTTTTATGATCTGCTCTCTTGGCAACTTTCAAATATAGAATATGGTATTGCTAACTACTGTCACCATGCTATACATTACATCCCCAGAAGTTATTTATCTTATACCTAGAAGTTTGTACCTTTTGGCTACCTTTGCCCATTTCACCTCCCCTCCGCCACATACTGCCTCCACCACTAACCTGTTCTCTGTACCTATGAGTTTGGGTGTTTTCTTTTTTTTTCTTTTTTTTTTTTAGCTTCCACATATAAGTGAGACCATATAGTATTTGTCTTTCTCTGTCTGATTTATTTCATTTTGCGTAATTCCTTCAAGGTTTATCCATGTTGTCTCAAATGGCAGGATTTCCTTCTTTGCTTTTTTATTGATAAATAATATTGTATACCAGATCTTTATCCATTCATCCATCAGTGGACCCTTACATTGTTTCTATGTCTTGGCTATTGTAAATAATGCTGCATTGAACACAGAGGTGCATGTATCTTTTTGAGATCAGTTTCATTCTTTTGCTCGTGGCTGTCTAGTTTTTCCAACACCATTTATTGAAGAGACTGTCCTTTCCCATTTTATATTCTTGCTGCCTTTGTTGTAAATTAATGGACCATATATGAGTGGTTTTATTTCTGGGCTGTCTATTCTGTTCCGTTGATCTGTGAGCCTGTTTTTATGCCAATTCCATACTGTTTTGATTATTGTAATATGGTTTTGAAATCAGAAATTGTGATGCCTTCAGCTCTGTTCTTTTTCAAGATTGCTGTGACTATTCAGAGCCTTTTAGGGTTCCATACAAACTTTAGGATTGTTTATTCTATTTCTGTGAAAAATGCCATTGGAATTTTGAGAAGGATTGCATTGAACATATAGATTCCTTTGGGTAGCATGGACATTTAACAATATTCATTCTTTTAATATGAGATATTAAATGAGATGTTCTATGAGCACAGAATATCTTTCCATTCATGTCTCCTTCAATTTCTTGCATCGTTTTAGAGTTTTCAGTCTACAGGTCTTTCATCTCCACAGTTAAATTTATCCCTAGGTACTTTATTCTTTTTTGATGTAATTGTAAATGGGATTGTGTTTCTTAATTTCTTTTTCTGATAGTTCCTTAGTAGTATATAGAAATGTAACTGATTTTTGTGTTTTGGTTTTGTATCCTGCAACTTTACTGAATTTGTTTATTCTAACAATTTTTTGGTGGAGTCTTCAGAGTTTTCCTATGCGCAATGTTATGTAATCTGCAAAGAGAGGCAGTTTTACTTCTTTTTTCAGATTTGGATGTCTTTTGTTTCTTTTTCTTGCCTAATGACTCTGACTAGGACTTCCCATACTATGTTGAATAAAAGCGACAATAGTAAGCATTCTTATCTTGTTCCTGATCTTAGAGGACAAGCTTTCAGTTTTTTACCGTTGAGAATGTAACCTTTACTATATTATATTCCCTCTATGCCCACTTTGTTGAATGTTGTGAATTTTAAAAAATAAATGAGTTTAATCTAGTGATAATATTCTGTTTATTATCACAACAAATATTGCAAATCTAATAATAATTCCTAAAAATAGTAAATATATTTTTGTCATTGACTTTTATTTAATTATTTTTAAATTTAAAAATGTAAAAAGCCCAATTAATTTAGAAAAGAGCACTTATTATCCCATAATTTAAGCCAATAGAATATTTCCAAAAATCATAGCCTCCTTGAAAACTGCATTATCCATTGCTATTCATTTAAATTTTATCCATTGTGACTCTTCACTAAAAAGTTACCACTCTTGAAATTAAATGAAAGTTTAGAACTCTGCATTTTATATTCTTACATATCCATTAAATGTATGATTTAAAACATACTGTTAGCATCTGATTAAGATAATTATTAGATTTATTTTTTATTATGATTTTTAGAAGGGTAAAAAGCAAGCATAAATTGTGGTAGGAGGTTGGCTGCCTTTATATGTGAAGAAAGCACATAATTTACTTGTTTTGTGAGAGAGCACCAACAAATCAAAGACTGATAGTCATAAACTAGGGATATATTTTTAAGACTGTGTTTCGTCAGTATAGTTAGCAGCATCATGGGGTGACTTAGTAATTCAAAATCTACAGGCTTATTATGGAATGATTGCCTGGGGGGTTAAGAACTCGAAGTTGTATGTACTTCTTTAATTCTGGTGATAAAAGATCCTAGTTCTGTTTCTCTTATAGATTAGTCTGCATGTGCAATTTATTTGTGAACATAATACCTGCTGTGCCCTTCATAGCCTCAAAGCTACACCCATGAACTCTAGCTCTTTCTCTTAAGCATCAAGGTAAAAGTCCTCATTTTTCTTTCCCTTGGGAAATGCCACAGAGTGAGTGACCTACTGTGGGGGTGGGGAAAAAGACTAGGAAACCCAATTTAATGCTGCTGGAATCATACAAGAGTCATGTTAATCTCTAGTCCTGACTAATTTGAGTAAAGTTAGACCCAAGATTCCTTAGCTGTGAATATCCTCAAATTTAGGGTTCCTTTTCAGGTGAATTGCCCTGTTCTGTGAAAGACATATGAGTGATAAAACATTGAGTCTGTATTGTTAAAACTCTAAAGTATAGTGCCTACTCTGTCATTTCTGACATTTCTAGTGAAGGATTTTAGTTCATAGTTATTCATTTTGTTAATAAGTCTATAACTTAGCCTAATAGAGACTTCCAGTCCAAAAACATACATTTTTTCTTATTACTCTTTTCATTTTTAGATATTCAAGAATACCTGAAAATGCAGTAGGTATAATACCATTCCAAACAGAGTGGATTTCTGTGCAGTATATCCTTGAATTAAAATATTAATGTCTTTGAGAGAATGAAAAGACAAGCCATAGACTGGGAAAAAGTATTTGCAAAACAATAAGGGATTATTATCTAAAATATATAAAAACTCTTAAATCTCAACAATAAGAAAACAATCCAATTTAAAACTGGGCAAAAGGTCTGAACAGATGCTTCACCAAGAAGATATACAGATGGCAAATAAGCAGATGAAAAGATGCTCAACATCATATGTCATTAGGGAATTTCAAATTAAAACAACAGTGAGATACTTCTGAACACCTGTTTGAATGACTAAACCCAAAATACTGACAACACCAAATGCTGAAAAAGATGTGGAGCAATAGGAACTCTCATTCATTGCTGATGAGAATGCCATATGGTACAACCACTTTGGAAGACAGTTTGGCAGTTTCTCATAAAGCTAATTATACCCTTACCATAAGATCCAGCAATCGTGTTCATTAGTATTTACTCAAATGAGTTAAAAACATGTCCAATAAGAGCTTGTGTACAGATGTTTATAGCAACTTTATTCATAATTGCTTAAACTTGGAAGCAATCAAAATATCCTTCAAAAGGTGAATGGGTAAATGCCTAGACAATGGAATACTATTCAACAATAGAAAGAAATGAAGTGTCAAGCTATGAAAAGACATGGAGGTACCTAAAATGCATATTGCTAAGTGAAAGAAGCCAGCCTGAAAGGGCTACATACTGTATAATTTCAACTACATGACACTAATGAGAAGGCAAAACTATAGACAGTAAAATGATCAGTGGTTGCCAGGCGTTTGCAGGAAGGGAGGAATAGGTGGAACACAGGGAAATTTTAGGGCAGTGAAATTATTCTGTATGATGTAATGGTGGATACAAGTCATTATACATTTGTCAAAACCCATAGAACTGTACAACACAATGAGTGAACCCTAATGTGAACTATAGACTTAAGTTAATAATAATTTATCAGTATTCATTCATCGGTTGTTACAAATGCTCCACCCTAAAACAAGATATTAATAATAGAAGAAACTGCAGGGGAGGTGTGGGAGTGAGGGAAGAGGAAACCTATTTACTTAATTTTTCTGTAAATCTAAAATTGCTCTAAAAAATAAAGCATTAATTTTAAAAAGTTAATGTATTGTATGAAATTAAAATGTACATATTTCATGTAGAATCATTTATTTTGTAAAAAAATAAAGCTAATGCCAGTAAAACTACTTTATATGTTCTCTAAGTATTAAAATAATGTTTACCAGATCTGTGACATTTTTATTCACCATTTGATTGGTTATCTGAGTAGATTTTTATAAAACTCCACAGCTGTTTTTTGAGGGATTGGATGGTCAGGTTCAGAGTTAGTACAATGTCATCTCTTGCTCAAATATTAAAAGAGTGTTATATTGAATATAAATTTTTTTATTTAAAATTTTAAATTGTATCATTGAATAAATTAAATTTCTTGTTTTATTGCGTAGTTCCAAAAAACCTTAGAGTTCATACATTAAACTCCTTTTTTTTCTTTCATGGGTTGCTTTTCCACAGTGTTCTGGAACTGTCATTGCCAGATGTGGAAATTCTTGTTTTAAAAATAATGGTATAACTATTATACACAGGCTTTGGATTATTTGCTTCCTCCCTGAAAGCACTGTGTTTAGGGGCAGATTATTGGCATTTTGAGGTCAAATTCAAATCTGGAAGTCAGGGCTTACTGTAAATAGAGAAACAGAGAGGAGAAAATGAGAAGAGGTATATATCTGACTGATTATTTTAAGAAAATAAATATCAAGACTTTTAGAACCTAGATGTAATTAAACATATTTCATTACGTCCATCTAGAGAAAATTTAAATACTTCCTAAAGGGAATGCTGCTCTGTAATTTAGTTTCTGAACATCTTGTAGGTATAAAGAAAGTGTATTTTGGAAATTAAATTAATCCATTTAAATGCATCTCATAATCTAAAATGCTTTTTTTTTATTAAAACCAGATGAGATGAAATAAAAGTCTTTGGGAACTTTACCTCATTATTGACAATATGATGATGAATAACACATAATATCTAATACTTTATTTCTCTAACTTGCCAAAAATGAAAGGAATTAGGAAAAGTGACTGAGGTTATATTATATAAAAATACTTTTTAAGAAATTCTCAAGTGATCTTTATATGTACAAAGTGTACTCTTAGAACCAGTTCACTGATGTTCTGTGGTTAATTTCCAGGTCCTTGAGCAGCTTTTAAATCATTGCAGGAAAAACAATGATAAAGTTCTTCTTTTCTCCTTTTCTACCAAGGTGAGTTTCATCTGAAGTGTATTCTTGATTGGCCTAGTCTTCATTCCTGAAGCATAAAGCCTAAGAGACCTAACAGCATTCAGCCACATTTTCTTATATATATCATAGGAAATGATAGAGAGGTAGGCAACTTTTAAATCTCAATTATATCAGTTATATCTGTTGATGTTTTTGTTGATAATTAAAATGTTCTTTAAGACATTTAAGAGTATTTAGAATGTAGAAAATACCACAAAATAAATGAAATATATTTACATAAACTATTTGGCCAATACTTTTTATTTGGTTTTAATTTTAAAAATTAAAGATTGCTTTTTTTTTTCCCTGAAAGATTGATTGAAAAAAAAAGAAAGAAAGAAAGGTTGCTGAATGTTAAAGTCAGTTTCAGGATAATGGAATATATGGGTAAGAAGTCAGAAAAATATTGCTCTTGTAATTATAAGAAATTGTGAGCAGCAGTATTTAATACTTAGTAAATTTTATTTTTATAATGGAATGAAGCTTATTAAACCATGAATTTGTCTTTGCCCATCTCTGTACCTTTCTTCCAGTTGCTCGATGTGCTGCAGCAGTACTGTATGGCGTCTGGGCTTGATTACCGACGTCTTGATGGAAGTACAAAATCAGAGGAAAGAATCAAGATTGTGAAAGAATTCAATAGTACACAAGATGTTAACATTTGCCTTGTCTCTACAATGTAAGAAAATAAAATTTGATAACTTGATTTTTATCTAATTACTTTTAAGATTTAGGATAATTTAAAAACTATTACAGATTAATTTTCAATGATTTTGCTTATATTGCTTTGTTTGATTTGGCTTTAAAGCGAAGCAGCAAAAATGCTATTAATTATGGCCAAAATAACAATTCTTGAGTTTTATCTAAACTTTTCTCTCTATTCCCTTATCATTACTGAATTCCCCTTTATACGTCTGAGTTTATAAAGATAATAATTGAAAAAAATGAATGTTTCCTTCTAGGAATTTTCTGTAGCAGTGTTTTGACTCATGTCAATGATACTGAATTGAATAATTGAGTTATTAATTGAATAACTGAGAATCATTTATAGCAACAGTTTTCAAACTGTTCTCAAGGAGCTCTAGAGAGCCCATGGACCTCATGGGCCAGGCATTTTTCTCCTTTGTCTCTACCTAGTCTCAAACATGTGGAGCAGCTCCACATTTATAGGTTTTATGAAAGTTAAATCAGTTCTAACACCTAGTTACAAATCTCTAATTAAAACCTTTTAAAGAATATAAATATAAATTAAGTCGATGAAAACACCAAAATAAAGCTAATCTCTTTTTGGGGGGTAACAAATCCATAACTATTGGCATCTAATGTAATAAGTATTTTATAGATTTCCTCCCACTGTCTTTCAAAAAGAATTTCAAGGGACTTTAAAAATAAACATATGTAAAATCCAAAAAGTAGACATTAAGTCAAAATATAAGTTACTTAAATGAGAAAGAAAATGATATATATATGATGAGTGAGCACTGAAATCATACTGTTGAGCACTGAAATTATTCTTGAATTTTTGCAACTACAGCAGAAAGAGAGAAGCTCTAGATTCTCAATTTCCTGTGAATGAATTCAAGTTGTAATTTCTCACATGAGTCCTTATGTACAGAGCCTTAAGTGACATAGAATACTGTTTCTATAAAACAGTATTAAGTTTTATAAAACATGCATAAGTATTCTTAACTTTTAAATCATGTTTTTCAAAGTAATAAATGCCTTCAACAACAGTTCAAATAGTACAGAACTTATGATGACAAGCAGCTGTCTTACAGTCATCTCACCCCTAGTCTGTTTTGATAAGATCTGCCATAAAGCTCCTAATTATCTCTTCAACTATGTTAGAAATTGCTATTTAACCCATCTATTAAATTTTTAATTTTTAAAGAATGTATTTTTTATGTTTAGAAGTTCTATTTGGTATTTTTCAAATGTGCCTGATAATTTTTACTCTATTTTGTTCTTTATGAATTCTAGCCTTTCTTTATTTCTTTAGTAATTTTAATCTCTTGAATGGCCTTTTTGCTCTATTGACTCCTGTACTTTGAGTGCTTGATCCTTCTATTTGATGTTTCTTCCGGCTTTTCCTTATGGTAGATGGTTTCTTCACACATTTTAAATTTTTTATTTTGAGCTTATCTTTAGTAGGTCTTTTTCTTCTGTGGAAATCCTTTGGTTGTAATTTTCTACTACTGTGATTTTGCTTTGACTTCTGCTAGGCATCCCAACTAAAGGAAGGGAAGAAGTTTTGGATTCCTATTTTCCCATTACTGAATTCAAGGAGTAATTTGCTACATAAGTCTGTACATAATAAAGAACCTCATGTAACATAATCAATATGTTCTTCAACTGTGTTTTGCGAAAGGCACATAAGTTCACTTTGTTTTGTTTTTCTTATTTTGCAATAGTTTATATTTAATTTCTGGGTGTTGTAGCAGAAGAATTATCACGTTAGCTTTGTCCATCATTCAGAATCCTAAGTCTTCATTGTCTTTTCATTTATCAACAGTATACAACTTGGAGTCTATTATGAAACAGGAGGATTTAGTCTAGGTTACACTACTCTCTCCCCACTTTTCACATAATCTTTACTATTTTTATTATTTGTCTATAAATTATTTTTGTAAGTTTAAATAATGTACTTCAATTTTTGATATTTTAGTCTACTCACTTCCTATGGTATATCTAAGTGCTTATAATGGGTGATAGTAGAGATAGTTAGCAGGCAGCCTTCCTTTTTTCTACATTTGTCACTTGTTTTATTATCTGTCAACTATTTTAACTTTTTACTTCATGAGAGTATTAGGAATTTTCACTAAGTCCTGCAATAATAATGATCTGCCCATAGGTTGGCTCTAGAATTTGGAGGCTAGAAAATAGCATTTACATTATTATGATTTTTAAAACAATGTTTAATGCTGGACCCCTTAGTGCTAAAATAATTTCTCTGAATGTTCATGACCTCTTGGCCAATTCAAGGAGAACAGCCTTTATATCAACCTCTACTGAGTTCTCTTTTCTAACACTTCATTTATTATTTTATGTTTGCACAGTTCAGTTCACTCTATATTTCAATCATGACTTTCTTATTGTTTTTTCCTCAGTGTATTTTTGCCTTTTATAACAATAATCTTCAATATAAAAAAATAATAATCTTCAATATATTACTAATTCACATTCATACTTTTTCTTCTCTTGAATTCTTTGTATCCTGAAGAACTTTCTCCTGAAGCCTTTTATACTTTGGTTTTAATATGGATTAGTTGTTTTCTAGACCTGATTAAGAGCTGTTTCCTTGAAGTATTTTTCACTGCTCTTCTGCATTGGATCCTTTTTTTTTTTTTT